ATCTTGTTCCATTATCCTTTCTACATTGCAAAATAAAGAGAGAAATATTTTTAGTTTTTAACACTAGGTTTTAGTAAAAAATTCTTGATCACCTGATTTATGATAATTAACTCTTAAATCCCCGATCTTGGTAATTTATCCTTTTTAAAAAATAAAGGGAAAAAATCATAAATAACCAAGTAAATAAAAATATTTTAGCAAATACTAATCATTATTTTATAATTTAATAAATATTGGATAAAAAGCAAAAGTGCATCAAAATTACTGGTTCCATGAATTTCTCTCATTCTTTATAACTGAAACCCAAGAATAGCCCACCATTAATTACAATTCCTAATCATTGCTCAATTGATAACCATGGAAATTTCAAAATACAACCATGTAGATGAAATATTGTGTGGGTTTGTTGAACTTTGAGATCACAGACACTATTCTTTTGGACTATTGTCGTGATCTAAAATTTCTTTCGCATATAGAATAGGGAAAATTACAGCCGAGGTACCAAATTTTTCGTTTATTAGCAGACTTTGCCTAAACCTTTCCTTTGTGCCACTGGAGGTACCAAACTTTTCAAAAATGCGCACCCGAAGTTCAAATAGATGGAAATCGTTAATAAATCCGTAGTTGACCTAGAGTCAACATTTTGACCAATTTTTGATTGCATTTTAAAGGATAAAAATGTAACATTAGGTTTTTATATTAAAGAATTAAAATAATTAAATTAAAAACCCAAAAATAAAATAAAAAGAAAAGAATTTCAAAAACTTTTCTTTTTCTTCTTCTTCTTCCTTACGCAGCTGACCCCGACCCCGCCCCATCCCACCCACACCTCAGAAATCAACCAAAGTCCACCCACCCCAATCGTGCCAACCACTGCCATTCACCGCCCCTAAATCGGTCGACTACCATCATCCACTGTACCTAAATCACCGCACAACAATTGCTAGTAAACCACATTAACCAGAAGATGTAAAACTCAAACACACCACCCATCACCATCCCCTTCTTTCCCAAACCCTTTACCCTAAAGCCGCCAGAGGTTATCGTTGGTGGCACCGCCACCATAAGTCAGCCACCAATCCATCTGGATCATTCAGGCCACCCTCGATAGCGATGGCGCCTCCAAATAGGATGATGCGGGGGTCGTGGTTTTTGGTGTTAGTAACGGTGGTGAGAGTGTGTCCATAGCGAGGTCCGGGGGCATCCTCATCGTTGTCCCAATAGGTCTCTAAAGCGCGATAGGTCGGAGCAGGATGTTGGAATTGCTTATTGCAATAACGATTAAGCACTGGACTTGCTTATTGCAATAAAGTTGTTGGGTCTGAATTCGACGAGTCCATCTCCTCTTCTTCTTCAATAGGTAGTGGTGTTAATGGGTTATTGCTGTAATAGTGGTGGTGGTGGTATTAGTAGAGGATAGCGGTTAGGGCGACGGTGGTCACTGGGATGGATGAAGGGTACCTGTAGAAGATGAAGATTTTTGGGTTTTTAATTTAATTATTTTAATTCTTTAATATAAAAACATAATGTTACATTTTTGCCCTTTAAAATGCAGTCAAAAATTGGTCAAAATGTTGACTCTAGGTCAACTAACGCTTTCCATCCATTTGAATTTCGGGTGCACATTTTTGAAAGGTTTGGTACTTTTGGTGGCACAAATGAAAGGTTTGGACAAAGTCTGCTAATAAACAAAATGTTTAGTACTTCAGCTGCAATTTTTTCTATAGAATACAAGGTAAAGACACACAATCTGAGTCGTTAGAAACAATAATAACTTGTTGTATAATGGAATACTTCGTATGAATTATTATTTACCATCATTAGTTTCATAATTTTTTTTCTAATTCAATTGTCTTCTATTATCATACAATTTAATGAGCTTAAGTCGTATGATAATTTACGTCAATTGCAAACTCAATTATTCGCTGTGAATATTTTGTTTTGATTCTATCATAAGTTTCATCTCAGGTCTCCATTTACAGCAATAATTGGAAGATAAACTAGTGATTGAGATGTTCAAATCTTGTAAATTAGAGTGTTTTGGTGATCACAAACTATCATAGAATGATATATTACGTAAAATGGTAAATGACTAAGGAGAAGCAACTTACCCACAATGTCATGTTCAATATCTTTTAAGCATTACATTCTTTTTTTTCCTAAAATGAGTAGAAAATATTTCTTTTGAAAATTTTCAATATTTTTCCCAAGTCCTTAAAAATGGGTTCAAAAAAAGAGAGTTGAGTCAAGTCGATTTAGATTATTCCAACGTTTTATTACCCCTTTTTTTTTGTATTCCATAAAAAAAATTTGTAAAATGAAAAGCATTCCTTGGATTAGATTGGTATTACTTATCCTCTTAGCTGATAATATTGGAAACAATGTCTTGCTTGCTACATTTGCAGTTTAATTTAAATTTTTTCCCCATTAATGTGTAAGATTCTTGTCTAGTTTATTACTTGTACACTTGATATTTATAAAATTTAGCACGTGTCGTCATATTTTATCATAGAAATTAACACATTAAACATTGAACATATTGGATATGTTTAGAAAGAATGGGACTAAACAAGAAATGAACATTTGACGTGAATTTCTTCTCTAATTTCAAGCGGAATTTCGATTACCATTCCTTATAAACATTTCGATGGTTCCAAAGAGTTATAGCTTCACATTTCCTTGTTATGGTCACTCTTTCTCATTTTCCAAAGATGACATTCCTAAGGTATCCAATCTCTATGTCAACAAAGTTGATGAAGTTAACTGTTATTGTGGGCACCAGGAAATAGTTTCACCGACCAGCCATGCATTATGAGAAACACTAGCTCATGAGTTGCAACTTTTGCCAAATTCCAAATATCACCAACTTTTGGATAATTTATGGTTGCATAGGACGTTCAAGATAACTTTCAAAGTTAATACAATGGAACTAATTTTTATTTTTTTGTTAAGGACTTCTACATCATCCTACTTTAGAAATGGGGATTGAAATGCTAGTGGAATTGATGAGACAAAGGCCATTAAGAAGAAATGAGATTTGTTTTGGAAGGGACTCAACTTGAGGAGTATAAGGTCGCAAAAAGATATACAATAAGAAAGGATTTAGATTTAGATAGATGGATCGAAGCTATGCTATATGGGCAAAATGGGCACCTCCATAGATATTGGCATTGTTTACCTGGGAATGACTTTGTCCAACGACTGTGTGCATTGGTGCTTGCTTGAACCAATTAATTCTTAAAGTGAATTCTTGCTTCAATTTTTATGTCTTTACGGATTATAAATAAAGACACAATTATTGGAGTTCGCTTTGAAATTTCAAAGATGAGTTTATCTTGGAAATGATTTTGCTTGTCGATCAGCTTTGAGTTCAACATGATAATGATTTCATTAAGTGCAAAAACCATAATTCAACCCTGAAACTTATTTGTAGGATTCATTTCAGTGCTGCAAATTAAGCAACAAATAATGATGTTAGAAACATAATTAACAAGCTAAAATATATATGCATTCAACTAAGATTGTAACGTCTCATAATCAAATATAAGGATAAATATGTTAGATATTGGAATAAATAGAAACTCATGTTAAGCTAAATTACAAATATGTTATGAAACATGCAAAATTAAACCATAACTTAGTTCATGGAAACTCATGAAAAATTAAAATATATCATGTGATAAAATGAAACCACAATATATGACTAAAATACAAACATCCCATATCCTAAAAACATATTTGTTACAAAAACTAATATTCAAACATGATTTGATATGTAACATGATTAGTGAAAGTATAAAGTTCACATAATGTGAATGATAACATACCGATGCTTTAAACCTACTCATCGATGACATTCTGTACAATAGCAACATGACTTATTATATATGATACTAAAATGCTCACAACTGTACAACGTGTAATTAATTTCATGAAAAATTCTAATACACCATTACATGAAAAAGAAACAAAAAAAGAAAGTAATGTAACAAATAAAAAGCTATACCTATGTTTGCTACTAACTTTGCAACAAAAATACAATTAGACAAATTATGTTACAAAGGTAATAAAATAGTATACCTGAAACAATTTTGACTAGATATTTGTTGATAACCAAAAGTAAAGGATACGATATTTTACTTTCAAAACATCTCATTATACATATCACAAATGACACATTAATTGGGAACATTAGACACAAATTATGATAAATTAAAAGTTCACAAGATCCAAGTTTACAAGGAAAAATCCAGCTTAGATAAAAAAATATAAATTCTAGCAAACTATTGGATTTTAGAGAAATGCAGTTCACGTAACCATCACAAGAATGTGACGCATTATAATAAATTATGATTAAAAAAAAAAAAAAAGGAAAAACATAATCCAATAAAAATCGAGAAAATTACCTAGGATTTCCATTGAAAAGTTGCTTTCTTCTTTGAATTCGAAGTTAAATCTAATGTTACCAACCCTTTTCGAACTCTTTTGCAGATAAAGACTGATTTAAGAATTATATTTTTCAAGATGAATTACAGTATAGAACACAAGATATTGAATCTTGACTTTAGGGATTAGAATTTCTAGTAGGATAACAATTGAAAATGGAAACCACATGCAATCAAAGGAAACTTGAATGAATCACGAAATGATGTTAAAGGCTTGAAAAAGGAATTTTATTATTTTAATTAAGGAATGCCTTTGCAAAGATGTGGTGCCATGGTGGTCTTATTGTTTGAGCATAAATCAGGAAAGTATATATTGACTACTCTTTTCAGTTTTTACTTCTAAAAAGTCAGTATTTTTGGTAAAAAAATAAAATAAAAATGGAAATGTAATATTGGAATTAATTAATTAGGGTATCAGCGTAATTTCCACAAAAATAAATTAGATTATTTATCACAGGGTATTAGGCTGGATAGTGCTGTCCACACGGCCCCATATCACGATGGCCCAATCTATAAACCAACTCGAACTGGGTCATCCGGCTCGTTTTGACACAACTAGGTCAAATCGAAGCCCTAGATATCGTATTGGGATTAGGGCATATAAGTTCCTGCTGATCCTCTACACAGCCATTTTCACGGGCACAAGCAGCAAACTCAGAGAGATCTCTCCGTCACTAGAACAGAAATGGTCTGTCATCCTAATTTCTTTGTATATCTCTTTATACTTATGTCTTTCCTTCTAGTTTTCTCTGAAAATGAATGGTTTTTTTTTATTGGGGATAAGCAGCCGTCTCACAAGACATTCATGATAAAGAAGAAGCTGGCGAAGAAGCAGAGGCAGAACAGGCCCATTCCGTACTGGATTCGGTTGCGCACTGACAATACCATCCGCTACAATGCCAAGCGCCGCCATTGGCGCCGAACCAAGCTCGGCTTCTAAGCGGAGCCCCTATTTGTTAGCGCTCTTTCCAATCCGATTTGGTTTCCCATTAGGGTTTAATGTTTTGGAATTAAATCATCGGTACTGAGATTGCGATGTAGTTTTGATGGATTTTTATTACCTCTATGTCTCGGATTAAATAGATGTTTAATTTTCATAACTTTGTTGTATGAATTTTGTTCTTTTTTCCTATATATAAATGCTTTAGTTCTCGGCTGAGTCTGAATCTACCTGTAATCCCCTACCGGGCTCCGGAGCGAATCTGTGTGGGTAATGGGATTAACCTGAATGAAATTTATTGAGATGTTAAGGCTTGTTTGGCGTGGCTTTTGTTAAGTCAAAAGGGCTTTTGAGATTCAAAAGCAGCTTTTGGACATGATTGGCTAATTTGATTCTTCTAGTTAGAAAGAAGAGCACTTTGAGGAAGCTGGTTGAATGATGCTTCGTCTAGAAACACTTTTGGATTAGGAAGTACATTTAAAAATTAGTTTTCGAACAAAAATTAAGGTAGCTTTCTTCTGAATCTCTTCCACGGGAAGCAAAAATAAAAGTTAAAGCCAGTCTTTTGCCTTCACAATACATTTACCATACTGAATCAACTCATTGCAATTATGCTGGATGTCTTCACCATGAGTTGGTTATACCTGCAACAAGTTCACTACATGAGAGTGGTTATTGCCCAATTCACTTTGTCAACTTTGCAGTATTATTAGGTTACTCTCTTATAAATTAGATCGAAATCCAAGTGTCTTTCTGATTGGATCAACTTCTAACTTCTCCGTAGAAATGGTATGTTACTTATATTGTGCGATTGTAGTTATTTACTTGTTGATTGTAGGTTGTTTGCCATTTTAAGATTTTTGTGTGGCCAAATTTCAGAAGCCCTATTTGTAAAATTTGAAATGCCAATTGATCTTTAATACAAGATGTGATTTGCTAGATTTTCTGTGCCTGAGCAAGGGGATGGTTATTCTGGCTCTGTTTTTTTCTCCCTCTTCTCTTGATTCTCGAATTTGATTGGCAGTTCGATGCCTAGGCTGTGTAATTTGCTGTTCTGTGATTAACTCACTATACGTTGGAAGAAAGATCACTCTGTGATTTCTCACCCGAGTTGTTTGAAGTTCAACTTCTCCTTGGAATGTTATGTTGAGTGTGGAGAATAGCCTGGGGAATGTGCTCTGTATTCCAGTCATGACTTGGGTAGATGATTCTTATGAATAATCCTTTTAAGCTTCCAATAAATCACCAAAATTGGGAGCAATGTTTGCTAATGATGCATTTCTCTGGACCTCTCGGCTTAATTGAAATTAGTACACCTTCGACCTGTTCGGGCATAAATCATTCTCAACCCGAAGTTTGTGTCAATCCAACCCCAAGACTGAATAATGACTGAAAGAAGCCTAAATCTCTTGTAATGCGAGATGAATTTCTGATTCCTATACTGCAGCTTACTGCACAAATGGGAGTTGATAGTAAAATGCTAAGCGTTCTTCATTGCAATTGACAACCCACAACAAAATGTCATAAGAAAGCCTACAGGGAAGTGTAAACAGTTCCTAGTGCTCTAGCAGCAGATCATATGCAATTGCTAGTCTCTAATATTATGCATAAGCTCTTAGAAAATGACCATTTTCAGCTGTTGTGGACTTCAATTGTTGCCGAATAAGTAACCCAAAGAAGAGCTGCCCCCAGGTGCTGCCAGTACCTTTGTCGAAGGTCGATCCTATAATCATGTTAAAAACAACTGTAAGAGACAGTAGAACGGTTTATACGGTATCTACACACATTAATGAAACTCTAGTTGATGTAATGAAAAGTATGTCACCAAATTGGCCAAATGAATCAAATGTGGGATGGTCACAGGATCATATTCTTCCTCCAGCTTGCACTCACGGCGGTCCTCAATACTATGTATGCACAGAGGTGTAAACATTTTTAAATCCAATTGGCTCTTTTTATAGGTATATATGCCGGATGCTAGTTTGGCACACCTAAAAATCTGGTGGGGCCAACAAACTTGACACCTCTACTCGTGCATTAAAGAAGAGTAATACTATTCAGTATCACTGGTGTCAAGCACCCGTTTGTATAACAATTACGTGCCTTAAATGATAAATCAACTTAAATGTAATGTCACACGCTTCATTTAGTTGAATCTACCAAATGTGGCACATAGACTAGTGTTTTAACATCATTGGTGATAGATAGCATTATTATTAAAGGATTGTTAAGTGAACATTAGCTAACGGGACACTTCTTTACAGTAAAAGTTTCGAAGGAACTCCAAGTCGAACATTTATGATTAATCATCTTCAAAATCATAAGAAACGTAAATTTTCACGAGGATAACCTAACTATGCACAACCCCCTTCTTGAAATGGAGCAATATCCTCTAGATTGCACTCTCTAATAATAAAGTCAGACAACAAAAGTCATAGGATCAGTGTCGAACCGATAGAAAGTTGCCACAGTTCTGGCCATCTGCTCGAAGGTAGTTGTTTGTGAAAGTGTTGGTTGTGGTGTTACTAAGTATGCCTGCAGGAGCCTTCTTATTGTTGTCCACAGACGGCTCATTATTCGAATCCTTTGGTGTTGGAGGATTTTTAGGAGCCTCTCCGCCTCCAAAAAGGTAACCCAAAGAACTCTGACCACTTCCAGGACAGACTCGACGGCCCATAATCTGATGCTGTTGCCTGTTTTTACAAGATGGAAAGAGCGAAAAGTTGCACATTAATCCTCGAGATAGAGACAGTCGAGACATCATATGAATCATGCAACAATAATAACAACAAAGTGGAACAGAACAAGCAAACGATGTCTAGCCAAGAGCACATTCATTCCTATATAAATATTAATAGCAGGACTACAGGAAATAACATTTTCAATATTTTCCGTACGTAATCTTTCTTTTACTTTGAAAGTTATGTTTGGATGAGTAGATTTTTGAACTAAAAATCTCTAAAACATGAAATACTTCTAAAAAAGCTCAAACATAATTTTAAAAATGTTTAAGTTTAGCCAAACATGCTTTAATTCCATATAAATAAAATTGAGCACTACAACATTATAGACTTCTGTTGAGAAAGATAAATCAATCTAATCATGTCGATCATTAAATTTAAATAAACAAATATGTTCTAATTTCCCATAACTAAAGGTTCTTAAACAAAGTAATCCAACATTTACCTTTTTCAAAACCATAACAGCAGTGACATTGATCATCTGGCTTATGAAAAAGGCACAGATGTAAACAAATCCATAATTCAAACTAAAAACGCGGTTTCATCTTTTAGAAGCCGCAATCATCATTGTCAAAAATAAAAAAAATAGATTTTCAAAAAAGCGAAGAGTAAGCAATTTAAAGATTATAAGGACACAAAATAAAGTAATTTTATAATGAATCAAGTCATGAATGAATTTGATTCCTCGATATATAAGATGAACATAATGATCAGGATCAGGAATAGATTAAATCGGGCTAAATAAATGTTATAAAATATACAGCATTATCAATGCACAATGATCAAATCAATTTTTATAAATCAAGATAACTTAAATCGAATGATTTCAATGAACAAGAAGGAACAAATGTCAAATGCTTACAGGTTTTCCGCTTTAGGAACAGATCACGATTGATGGAATGGAACCCCCTTTTCGCAGAGAGGGGGTCAGGGGTTGATTTAAAGGAGGGGAAATGGTTGAAAACTTAAAATTTGAATCGTGAGAGAAATTGAACCATTTAACCGTTATAAAAATCAATCTCTCTAGAAAGTAATTATGGGTACCGCTATTTCCGTCCATGTTTTTTATAAGTGCATCCCACTCTAAGTTAATCCCTAATAAAATTTAAAAATTAAAAAAAAAAATACTATTTACGTCCACATCATTTCCAATCTTGCCCTTATTAAATCCATTCATTTAAATACTATATATCCATGTGAGTGTTATATTGACATCCCATTTTAAATACATTCCTAACACTATAGATTCACACAATTCCTAAAACCGTACTCTTTTAAACCACATGAATGAAATAATAACAAAGTTAAACTTATTGAACATTAAATGAACATATATTATTCAGCTAATCGTGTTCATAATATTTATTAGAAAATTTATCATTTTTATTCATAAAACTCAATTCATTAAAGGCAAACCATGATAAATCAACATCCAAATTAGGAGGAGGGTTGTCTCTAGAGAAAGTATACCGAGTAATATTTGGAACTCATCGTGTTTGGACTATGAGTGGATTGCTTCAATCATCTCTTTGTGGTATGCTTAAATCCAAAATTGCAAGTAGAAAAACATCACATATTTGTTTAGATAAAAATGTTTTAACATGTCTGAATTTCTTAATTTTTTAATTAGACAAAAATGCTTCACATTAATAGCAAGTGGAAAACATCATATACAAAACATACTTTGTAACTAATATATCGATGTGAACCAAAATTAGGCCGCAAATCTTTGCGGATAAACTTAATATGAATAGGTAATTAAATAGTATCGAATAAATCAAGTAATTGTTCAAACAATAGTAGTAGTGTTAGTAGATAAAAATAATAATAGTAGTAGTAGTGATATCATTAATTGTTCTTATAGTTTATCCAAATCAATTATTTTTGATATAGCTACACATTCTTCTGTTAGGGGCCTAAAAAATTGCGTTCTAGCATGATAAGGTGTAGCCCAGCCTTCTGCACATGGATGACGATTGTTGTACCAATTACAAGCAATAGGTGGCATTGGTCCACTAGTATGCCAATTTACCTGTACACAATCATATAAAATAACATAAGTAGAAATATCATTTAGTTAATTAAAAATTTAATTAATTTAATAGATATTGATCAAGACAAAATGACAGTCATTGACAAATCCAATTGCAACAATCTTATGAGATGCGATTGCAAGTGGTTCATCCCAAAGTGGAAGAAATGTGAGGCATTGTTGTTAGCTCAAGTGAACAAGAATAATTTTATATCTTGAAGAAATGACATGATCCAAATCCAGCATGGTCATCCAATACTCACGACTAGCTGAACCATCAAAATGAGAAAGTGAATGAATCAACTCATGTACCATATCATCATTTCCATAGAGTCTAGAGTAATCATCAAAATGAGATTCAAGCTCCTCTATTAGATCTTTTCTAACTGAAGACCAATTATCTTCACTTATACCTAGGCTATTAGTTACGGCCCGAAAACCACAATTGCCATCTGAGGCCACGTCCTGCACATCAACTATGTAATGTCTCAAACGAATAGAAAATGAATCAAAATAAACCATGGACTTTGATCCACGTGCTCGATAGACATTTTATTTTTGTCGAATTGGAGGCTGGCTTGATAACGTAGGTTGACTTGACCGTGTAACGGACATGTCCAATTGTTGTAACATACTGTCTTTTCCAGATAGGACTAACTCAAAATACAATGGGTCTCAACGCGTAGATATATCTATCTTTGAAGATGGACGACCCTGTCTTAGTTTGGACTTGTGGCTCAACTAATGATGTAGAACTCGGACTAGCAATCTCTTTCAATTTTTGTAGGATTTCTACTTTCACATGATCATTATTATCTCGGTAAGGCTTCTCAATCATTTCAAATAATGATGCACAATTAATTTCGGATGTGTTATCTTTATCAAGAGGAACTAGATCAAGCTTCTTCCAGTGAGAGTATACTCTTGATAAAGGACTGGGCCGAGATTCTATCTTATACTCTGAAATCTCATGGGCACACAGTAATCCATGTGTTTGTCGTATAACTCATCCACAAACTATCTTATCAATTCCTATGTCATCAGCTCGCTTAGACTCTTGAAATATCAAATTCATTGCAATTCTTGATATGTAAATTCCCTAAGCTCTTTGAACAAGGTAGGTTTGAAATTATTCTGGACAGTACCCAAGCTCTTTTCAAACGAAACTTTAATATCTGTATGTTGTAGCTCCAATAATGCATGAATTCTTGTCCATGATGTGTCAAAATTGCCTTGAGAAGAACCTAAATGCCTTTTAAGTTTTGCTTGTGTAGATTCAGCCCTACCATGAAAAATAAATCAGATTTACTGTACATTAGCAAATTCAATAATGCACATAGCAGTTTAATGATGCCAATAGCAATTTACATGTTAGTTGTCGTGTTTCCAAAGTGCATATGCAAATTAATCCAAGCTGCCACAAACTTTTCTTTATATTGAAGAAGCCATGAATTCATGACATAATCAATTGCTTGTGGAATCTGTCGAAAATTGGATTCTAAGAGATGTAGATTTTGCTTGTAATCTTCTATGGATGTGGAAAGTACTGACAAATTCTACATATACATAAAAGTATCCCATTGGTCCTTGTGATTGTCAAAATGTTTTTTTTTCTGTTTTTGCCAACACATTCTTTGAAATATGCCATCTACATAAAATATTAGTAGATGTTGAAAATATTTTTTCAATGGCCTTCATAAGAGCTAGCTCTCTGTTGGTAAAAATAACACTAGGCATTATTATATCATTCATTAGACCCTTCAATTTCCTTAAAGCCCATGTGTAGTTTTCCTCACGTTCTTTTTTCAAGTATGCAAAAGCGATAAAAAATGCTAAATCAGTAGAAGTGACACCTACTATTTCCAATAATGGTAGATGATACCTATTTGTCTTATACGTGCAATCCATAATTATCACACGAGGAAAAGCCCGCAACAAATCTACTGAATATGGATGTGCCCAGAATAAATCTTGAATTACATTTGTCTCCATAGAGTTGTGGTGCCACTCTATGTACTTATTCTCAACAAACCTATTCATTAATTGTTGCATTTTTGTCCTTCCAGCTTGTTCTTTGAGCCTAAACTTTTGACGTGCGTTGTAGGCGTGCCTCAATGTGCTGACATTTGTGTCATCATTTTGTTTCAATGTGTATAAGCTTTCCTTTGGTCTTACATGATTCTTTGACATGTCTACTAAAATTGAAGTCTCTTTATCAGTTAATCTCCCAACATATGAATGTTCTTCGAAGTTCTGGGCAATGTCATGATTATGTCTCCCACATTTCACTTTCAATATCTAATAATCACCATTTATCAATTTTCTTCCATTCAAAGCGAATAGGCATCCGCACTTTTTTGTTCCAGTAGCTCTACGTTTCTTTCCTTTTTCATTTTCTATGGACACCTTATTCCTACACCTATACGAACCATATCTTTCACTTGCAAAATCAATTCTTGGTTTTCTCCCAACTTGGCCGAAGTCGGACTTTTTCATGACAACAATCATGTTATGTCTCTTAATAGTAGTTTTAACCCAATCAATCAAGACCTCTTTACTTATAAGCATCTGTTTATCATCAAATATTCATATATAAATATATAATCGTATTAAAAAAATAAAATCATTACGTACCATGTTTGTTGTAAACATATCTGTATAATTAATAAATAACTCATTCTACACATCATAGTTACGAGTTGATATATCTTACATTAAAAGTATAGTTTCAAATAATGTCATTAATGTCTTAATGCGTGAGGAAAAAAATCAAACCACAAAATACGATAAAAAGGTAATCCTTACTTTTTCAAATTTCTCTTCATATATTACTATGTCTGTATATTTTTGTTATAACGACGTCTCTTCCATCGTTCACTAAATTCTTTGTCTATTGAAGTTCTGAGTATTACAATGCTTCAAACAACAAAGGCTAAAAAATGAAAGAAGAAAGTTCAATTAAGCAAGCTAAATTTTACCAAGTTTGTATGCTGCAGATATTGAAGACTTCTTATCTAAAATTTTTTAGCTAATATTTCAAAACTTTAGCAACCATGGAAATTCCATAGATCTTGCTGCATTAATATTGCATTAATGAAGATTAACTAAGTGTTATCAACACAGTTTTATAATCACCGGGACATTAGTGTATTGCAATTTATTTCTACATTAAATTCCAAATAACCATAATTTCGTAGCTGGATTCTTGTGACGAAGGAGGATATGGATAGCCATTGAAATTCTTCCCCCCTATGGCATGTGAAAGACAAATTAATTTGGCAACCAAAAAAGTGGGATATGCACTACTTGATTTCCATGTTTTTCAATTCAGTTATTAATTCAATTAAAGAATTGATTTATTATTTAAAATTCTTTTTTTATTATTAATTTTATTATCGAATTTTTTTTATGCAAGTCGAGCCTCAACAAGACATTCATGGAATGCTGGGGTAGTAATAAAAGATAAATACTGGACACGAACATCAGGACATTATGGGGGGCATCAGACGTGGATTTGCTTTATTTTATTCATTTGATTTTTATCTCAATTTTGTCTTTGAGCATCACACAAAAGTACAGAAACACTACCATGAAAAATAAACTCAATTCATGCTTTATGCTAAGACCTGACAACAGCACAGGAGATAAAAGAAGCATACAGATTGTGGGACAGACATGCCTTGCACATTCAACAAAAACAATTCAACTTTGACTTGATTCTCCTATATAATAATATGTCGTAGCAGCCTATAAATTCAGTATAAAACAAATGAAAGCGTGGGCAGAGAACTCGCTAAGCAGAAATTACGTGCTAAGGGATTTTTTCTGAAAATAAGAGATTGGATTTAAGGTATGGGAAGCTGCACTAGAATTTGGGGACACCCATCACCTATAATTATATTCATATAATTTTTCCTAATCTATTATGAATCTATGATTCTAGTTA